TATATATATATTACATTTCAGGGTACTTTAGTCTATAAGCTCTGAGCTTGCTCATTTCTGACCTGGTAGAAAACTGTTTATTGATTTTTTTAATAAATGATTTTTCTTAAAAATCTCATAGATATACAGAATGAAATATGACCATATCTATCCCCTACTTGTCCTCTCAAGATCCCCTTAATATACCCAAAGTTTTCCCCTCTAACTCATGCTTTTTTATTGATGTTGTCCATTGGTATGTGTTTAATGACCATCCACTTGAGCAAGGATACCTGGCCAAAACCTTGATAAGAAATGTATCTACCATTTCCAGCAGCTGCCACCTAAAGATACTGACTCATTAAGAGATGGAGGGTCCCTCCCCATCTATGCTGCAATGTCTCCCAGATTGATCTTGTTCAAGTCTCACAGAGATAACCACAGCTGCTGTGAGTTCATGAGTGGGGAAGCCTTGTCATATCCAGATGGCAGGATTTCATAGACCATCAGCTGGCTCTCATATGTTTTTGCACTTTCTCTTCCCTGTTGTTCCCAGAGACTTGGGGTGGTTTTGAGGGGGAGGAAGTTTATGAATATGATGCCAAAGGACTAAACACATTTTCTCTTCTCTTCTGAACTTCGACTACTTCCATGGCTCTGTACAGATTACAGTCTGCTGCAAAAGAAGCTTCTTTGTCCAAGGTTTAAAGCGGTTATCTCCGTGCCCACTTAGCAAAATAAATGTAGCAGGTTCCACCCTGGGGCCCTTGACCTCTACAATTATGGGCTTTTGATTTGGATTGCTATACCAAGCATTATCCCTCATGTAGCAAAAATCTCAACTACAATAAGAAAACAGTCAGTTATCCCATAATAATGGTACCTCTGGTAATATCTTGACTAAAAGATCAGAATTGTAGAATGCTGGGTTCAGTGCTGGGTAAGAGCATTCATATCTTTTCTTCTCCAGCAGCACCTTGTCATTCTTTGAAAACTAGCCCAAGTGAAGATGTTTCCTAATTGATTTGAAATTGATATCTCTATGTCCTGACGACAAAGTGTCTCTGTGAGTTCAAGGTGTGGTTGCACACACCCTTAATCCTATTACTTGGAAGGCAGAGGCAGGCAGATCTCTGTGAGTTTAATGACAGCCTAGTCTACAGAGTGCGTTCCAGGACACAGTGCAGTTCATTCTGTGGTTTTCTTATAGTATCCTTGTTGCCTCTGATGCTCACATTCTTCCCCTCTTCCACAGGATACCCCAAGGTTTGCGAAAGGTTTGGCTGTGTGTCTCTTCACATTTCCATCTACTGTTCCACCCAGTGAAAACTGAGCTAGGCAACAATCTAAGAGTATAGTGGAATATCAATAGGAATCATTTCATTGACATTTTTGCCTGTCATATTCAGCTCTAATTTAGTTCTCTGGGATGTCCAACCTCGGGCAGTTTTAGGGGTAAGATCCCTCTCAATGGCATGGGTCTCACACTCAACCAGTCATTGATTGCCCATTCCCATTTCTTCTGCAGCACCTTTATGCCTGTATCTCTTATAGCCAGTGCAAATTGTAGATCAGAGCTTACATGATTAGGATGGGTTCTCAATCCCATCACTAAATAGCCTGTTCAGACTCTGTATCCCCCATTGCTAGGAATTCTGGCTGAGGTCTCTCTCATTGATTACTGGGAGCTTGCATTGCACTAGGTTTCTAACTAAGATCACAAATGACCCTCATTCCAGTTGTCTTTCTCAGTACTCTCTTCTGCCATCTTCCTCAAACCTGATTGCTCCTGTTCCCATGTCCACCTACCCCAATTCACTCATAATGACTATTCTATTACCCATTCACAGTGAAATTTGTTGTGCAACGCCCCTGATTTTGAGCCCTCCTTGTTACTTAGCTTCATGGGTCTGTGTATTGAAGTACAGTTATCCTTTCGGTTATGGCTAAACTTCACCTATAAGTCAGTACATATCATGTTTCTTTCTGGATCTGTTTTATTTCACTCTGAATGGTATTTTCAAGTTGCATCCACTTTGTGGAAATTTTACTGATGTCCTTGTTTTTAACAGCTCCATTGTTGAAATAGGAGCGGCGGCGGGGCTGCGTCCCTAACACCCCGGCCGCTTGGCTAGCTCATGCCCGAAATAACAACACACAAACTGTATTCATTTAAAGAACTGCTTGGCCCATGAACTCTAGCCCTTACAGGCTAATTCTCGCCCCTGGACTAGCCCATTTCTAATAATGTTTGTAAGCACGCCAAGGTGCGCTTACCGGGAAGATTCTAGCCTAAGTCCATCGTGGGTTGGAGTTGCCTGGGAGAGCTGAGCATGGCGTCTCTGCTCCAGCAGAGCTGTCGGGTCTGTC